TAAGCCGTTAACTACAACACCTCTCTCTCTCTCTTTCTCTCTCTCTCTGCCTCTCTCTCTCTCTCTCTCTCTCTCTCTCTCTGCCTCTCTCTGCCTCTCTCTGCCTCTGTCTCTGTCTCGACTAACTGCTTTCAAATGATATTTATGACTCGCGCTTATTACACATTGCCTAATTATCCCACGCCAAGTGCGATACGTTGGCATGTGTACCGCCACGAAATACTCAACGAGGCTCGACACCCTCGTCATCGGGGCGAATACGGCGCACTACCTACGGGGGTAAGTGCCGGCGAAGATCGAGAACCGGAACGTGTCAGGACAGGGCAACCGGGAAGCCAACCGGGTACCAGGCGTGAGCCGATGGCAGGAGGCGATGGAGACGCGCGACGCTGCCTGAGCGCGCCGCGGCGTCGAGAATTAACGGGCTTAGTTGCCGACGCAGGTGTCGTCGGGAAGGCGAAGGCAAGCGAGAGTCGGGATGAATTACGACGGGAGCGTCAGCTAGCGCCAGGAGAACGTCGGTCGTTATATTTTGCGCAACATCCCGATTTTATGGGCCGCCCCCCGCGTTCTCAGACGAGCGGGGCGTTCTCTCGTCCCGAAAGGGGACGAGAGAACGCCAACTTCCGTTGTGTAATGCGGCTGCCGTCGTAACCAGGTACCAATGAAGCGGAATGAGATGCGCTCAACAAGAGCAAGATTCAAGATCGGTTAATCACGATGCTGTGATCTGCTATGATCTTTCGTCACGTATATTATTGACGTAAGAAGTAAAACATTAATCGTTTTGTCATATTAATAAATTATTTTTTATTACTTGTTAATTTACGGTACATTAAATATTTTTAAAACGCAAATTTATCATCTTAATTCTCGAAACTTGAACAAAACTGTAGCATTCTGACATATTCGACGCATTAATCTGTTAACGTAATTATTTTATAAAAAAAAATAAAGTGATCAATTTTATGACAAACCGTAATTAGGACCACCGGTCCCGCGGTCGGTCGTCAGTTTCTCATCGGGCTCCTTTGATAGCGCGAGGTTGTGTGTCCTTGCGTCACAAGCAGGCGGGTTAACGAGTAATGTCTAATCTATGCATCCGCTTATCATAATGGCCCTCGTTATATCGTGAGCATGGCCCGGGAGGCCCGGAAGCCTCCGCCGACTCCCGCCGTCGACCAACCCCTCTTAGTCTTAGCCGCCCCCTTCCTCACGCGCCACACTTCCGCGAGCCGCGTAATAAAAGTATTCCGAGTAACTGAACGATATTACGGGCCGTTACGGGCTCTGCTCGCCGGGCAGAATTAAGCGGTTGAACGTTGTCCCCGCAGGGGTTCGAAGTGCACGATCGCTGTAAAGGGCGTAACGCCGACGTAAAAGCCATGTGGCAGCCCGTTACATTGACGTGCGATCAAGGATTACGAAATACCATTGAGATTCTGCCTAAAACGAAATATAAGTGGGTTAAAAATTGCCCCGCTGTGGCGTGTCTTCAAACGACTGCACGAACAAGATTCATTTAATTGCAAATTCTGTGACATCTAAAGCAATCTCGGTTCTCTTCTTTTTTCATCTTTTTTTTTAATTAATTAAACAAAATGGGAATAGACTTATTTGAGTTGGGTGGAAGTATTTAAATGTTAGTGCGCAATGAACATACGTCATATTCGTAAAGTTAAGCGGCAAACAACTAATGTCGGAAGTTATTTGTGTCGATAATATATATCAATCTCGAATTGCTAAATTGTCTCTATACCTCAAGTATATAAATTCTCGATACAAATCGTCATAATTTTGCGCCGTCAAGCGAGTTGAAATTCCGGTCCGTGAAAATAATGACAATCTCGCGAGGAACAAACGTGGCGCGCGGGACAAGCCGGCCGAATCGGCCGGCGCGGCGTTCTATTAAGCTAAAATCAGGGCCCGGCAGAGTCGACGCGAGCTCGCAGCGTCGCTCTAAATTATTATAACGCGAGGAGATCCGCGTACCTTCGCGGACAATGAAAGGTACACCGTAACGTCGCGACGTTTGTTTTGTCGGCCTCGGCGCGGCCGAGCCACCCCCCGCTCGCGCTCCGCGCAGCGATGCTCTCTCGCCTACATTTCGTATATTTTATTATTACTCTCGCACTTTCCGCGGCTGGACACGGTAACGTTGGCGAGGGGGTTGACGGCGGTGGTTAGCCCGTGGCCGTTATTAATGTCCGCGGCATGCCAGAAAAAGCGAGCAAAAGGGCCCCGGTGCCCGGAGAGAAAAAGACAGTGGGCATCGGGTATCACCGGCACACAACGTTCTCCGGGATATACACCCCGTTAGTACATACGTCCCGCGCAGAACGGCGACACGGCCACCAGCACAAGCGCCAGGAGTTCTTAATAATTGATAAAAATGTACGCACGCACCCCGGTAAAGAGAACGGGAGAGTGGGAACGGGTGAGAGATAGAGGCAGGAACGTAGAGGAGATAGAGGAGCGAAGAGGACAGGGACAGGGTGAAAAAAAGGGGCCAGACATGGCAGCGGTGGTGGTGGTGATAGTAGTGGTGGTTGGTGGTGGTGACTCTCACCCTCGTGACTCCAACCCTCCTGTGTCCGCCCGACTCGCCACCGTTTCGTTGACAAAGGCATACGCAACGATTTATTCGCACTTTTCACCGCGACCTCTCCCGAGAATTTTTCTTCGTTCTGTCACAATTTCGGAATTATCAGAATTTATGCCTACCCCTTCGCGCGCGTGGCCAGGCGCGCCCGTCCGCGTATTCTGATAGGTATTAAGCTGTCTTGATTACTGCGATGGTTGCCCGCGGAGATGCTCCGTTCGATGGCGTTGAATATTCCTAAATAAAATGAATGGCAACAGGACCAACGCATTTAAGGGCGCTCGCAGCCCCCCATTGTGTATTCGATATTCGTTGACGCTGGCACCGAAAAAAGATTTGAAGAGAGCGTATCATAAATATCCATTTTCTGATCATTTATGTTAAATAAAATAGGCATATTGCTATCTAAGATCTCTGATATTGTGTATTTTTTTTAAAGGAAAGTGTAACGAGTAAAAATGTATAAAATCAAGCTAATACTTTATTCGGTTTCTTTCCCTTCTGTGCCTTTCTTTAGAATATCACTTTGACATCTGTTTAAAAATCTCAAGTTGAAAATTAGGAAAGACAACAGAAAACATATCTGGTTTCTAAAGACTGATACCGTTTTTGAAGTATTTGATTAAGGTAGAAAAGATATATCAATTTTTAGACTTTTATTTGGTTTGATTCCTTTGGTATTCGTTACATTAAAAAAAAGTAATTAAATAAGTCGATAAATCAATTTATTTTTAAACAATGGTATGTGACTGCTGTTGAAGACGAAAAAGGGATATCGGAGCAATATACGAAGCTTAAATCTGGGATCGATTAAAACATTTAATAAAGCGCGAATTCTTTGTCACAAGCGTGCGGCCGGATCCGGGCATCGCCATCGTGATTTACCGGAAATTTCTCGTCGAAAACAAAAGAATGAAAGGCCACGCAGCTGCTCGAATCTAATTAAGAAATTCTTACACGGCGGTGCCGCGCATTCTGCCACACCCTCATGTCCCGACCTCACCTCTGTCCATCTCTCTCTCTCTCTTTTTCTCGTCCGAGGCACGTCTAGAAAAATTAAAAATAATTTTCCTACGTAAACGTATTAACCCCGGTGGCGGTGGACGGGCTTTTTGCGCTGCGCTTTTCTCGCAATTTGTACAAAGAACGGCACGGACCTGACTTCAAAGTAGATCTTACACGGTGTCGTATCATTTTATTCCAGGAACTTCCCTGCGTATTACTCGTTATTGCGTTTAAGTCACTGCCGCTTCTGCCGCGGCCGTCGCTCTCATTTAAGATTCCAAGACGAATTTTCGTAACTTTTTTCCGTAAATGGGCGAATTAAATAATAACGTTCACGTAGAGCGCAAACACTTATGAACTCTGCACATCGGGATTATAACTAAACAAAGCGTAGTTGTCTTCCGGTCCTTCCGGAGAAAGGCTGCAGGACGGCTACTCAATTCAGAAAATCATCCCGACTGCGTAAAGATAATAAAACAGCATTTTGAGAAAATAAATTTAAATATCAACATTTTAGCATCTTTCATAAAAAGAAAGCTTTCGCGAAAAATGTATATACAGGAACGCAATCTGTAAAAATTGTTCCTCTGGAAAGATTCTTTAAGAATGAAGTGGAAAGCTGAGATATGAAGACGAAGAGAATGGAATCTGTCCGAGATTCGAATATATATTACCTCGGAGTCAAATAATCATTGTTATCTTCACGCGGATAAATCTGTAAGCTTGACTCTTGGTTTGTTGGTCATCGCATCGGTCGGAAGGCGCCGACGAACGGGAGATAAGCGACGGGCGCTCTCCTCACCTCCCCTCCCGTTTCTCCCATCTTTTCTTTCTCGGCAATAAATCCCGGGGAAAAACCTATCTGGATTTTCCGCTCGTCCTTCCCGACGTTCAACCTAAAAATTCATTAGATTATAAAGCCATTAATGCTCATCCGCGCGGCCGAACGCGCCTCTCCTTGCTTAGGCGCGAGTCCAGCTTGGATCGATATCTCACATTCGTGGAACTCCGTCCATGTTTCTATTGTTTCAATCAGACATAACGGATTGGAATCTATTTTTTAATAATTTTTTAAAATTAATTCTAGGAAATTAACAATTACTGCACATTATATACAGTGTACAAATATAACTTTTAACTTTTCTATTCCCTGAGTGATCATTATTAAATTACTTGCAAATAATAATCAAATTTTGCGTAATGTAGTCGACAGATGTAGAATCGAGATATTATACACATACTTATTCTTTAAACTTTAATTGTCGCTCCTGCGTTACAGCAAAGTCATAGCTTAATATATAATTTGTAAATTTAGCAGGATAATTGAAGTGGATTTTATGTCTCACGCACGAACTGAATATTATGTTTCAGTACCTGCATTTTTTGATTACAGGAATCATAATTTCGGCGACTTCGAAGCAACCACGGAGATTCAACAAGCGCGATGGCATCCGGGTTCTACTAACGACTCTCATCTATTGGTTTTGACATCTGAAAACTCTTTTCGGTAATTAAGAAAAAGTGTGCGAGTATTATTTAACTGAAAGAAGTACGTTGTTTGAGTGGAATTATTCAACTAAAATGTCTTTATTTCAACTTGCATAATTATTATTTATTAGTACGAATGGCCGAATCCTCGATCGATCGAATATGTCCATTGTGTGTCCGTGTATAACACTTCAAGACAAAATATCTCATTTTTCAGCCGCAAGAAAGGCATCCCCTCGATCGTTGCTATGATAATTACAGAAAACTGCAAAACTCTTGAGAAACAGAGTGGTGTAACTCGAACTCGCGTTCTTTAGGTTTTCCTTAGACGGGAGCTTAAACAGTACGGGAACGTTTATGCAAAACTAAACTTTAGAGGGTTTTACGCGGCACGCCGAAGCGCCTTTAAAAATGTCGTCGGACTGACCTTAAGCTGCACTTAACTTTGCCCGCAGTTTATACGAGTGTGAACTGGGCGGTGCACCAAGACTCATAAAATGCTGGAAGGTCGGCCGCGCGCCATCGAGCTCACCCTCGAAGATCCCGGACTTTACGTCCCTCGGCGAGACCGCGGTGGACTTCGATTTCGCCACTCCTACCCTGAGAAAACCGGAATTGTTCGCAAACGACGAGGTACAAGCCGACACTTCGCTATTTAGAATTTTGAGCAACATATTTTTTTTCTGAAATAGGTGTTTTAATCATACATAACATACTTTAATCAATATTTGTCTTTTAATTATTTTTTTTATTAATTGCAAGATAAATAACGCGTCGTACCTGCTACGCACATTACGTGTTATAAAAATTCTAAACAAAAATTAGTTTCCTATATTTTACGTTTCAATAATCGTTGTTTAATTAGTTGCGAACTCAAAGCATTCAATATTTCTAAAATTCTTGTTTTGTTCATTTATTCAAAATTTTTTAATGATAATTTGACATTTCTTAATTTGTTATTATATTCTCATCTGCTCTTAATTTGTTATTACGAAATAGTATTAATATCAGGACTTATAGTATGAAACGTTCCTAATAATTTTCAGATAAAGGAAGTGATGAACTGGAATCAGATCGAGTGGCCGATCTTGGTGCTCCGTGGAAATGGCGAAGTACTAATCGTTCGTGGGAACGTTTTATTGGAGAAGTACGAACAAAATGATTCTTTTATATAAATCAAGAGAAATTAAGTACACGATCTTCGCTTTACACTATTAACGATCTCAGAATTGCTTGCACTTGTGCCAGCAATAACGTCTATTTGATTGTGGCTTTAACTGTTGTCAGCTATGAGAATCCAGTGGTATTGGGCTCGCTGTCCATGTATCCGTCGACCGACGATAATTACGGGATAGATTCGTGTTCTATCATGTGCCTGCAAACTACCCCGCCGATAGTGGTCATCGCCATGTGCACCGGAAAGATTTATCACGCGATACTGCTGCGCGAAATATCGGACTACGACGATGACGACAGAAAGGTATGATGTATAATGAATATTGCAGAATTCTATATTTTATATTCCATGTGTCGTGATGTCACACGCGGAATTTTATCGTTATTCTTTCCGTATCGTTAGTCGAGGACGGGAAGAACAAATTTACAAGAATAGTTACTTAAGAAAAAAAAGAACGATACATTATTTCTCTTTCTCTCTCCGCCAGACTTGGTCGCAATATGGTTCGAGCTATAGTCTTCATACGCCAGACGATGCGCTTTATGTCTACGAGTGCGTCGAACTGGAACTGGGTCTTCTCTTTACGGATGACGATAAGAAATATAATTGTCCCATCCACCTTCACTGCGACAAGGGTAACAAATCGAGGTACTAATCGAAGAAAGCGCGCAGTATGGGGATGTTTCAGAACTATCGCAATTTCTTTCGCCGCAAGTCACCGGCGATTGATCAAAGCTCGATTGAGCTTCAATCAAAAGTCAATTTCTTTCTTTTCATGACGAAAACAGCGATATTTCCAAAGCAATCCGCATTGCATTCGATTACATTTGAATAAAATTGATTTATCAATGCTTACGTGTATTAGATATTTTTGCTCTCACAACGCTGGAATTCACATGGTGAGTCTACCGATGGTTTCTCAACTGGATGAGTTTATACATGGCAAGTACATTCATGTTATTAAAAAAAAAGAGCGTACAAGAAAAATTAGTATCTGCCATTTTGCTTTGTTGTAAAAACATTCTTACATGTATAAATTTGAATAAATTTTTTTTTCTTTTGTGTATATAATAACCAACAATCAGTTTCTTATTAAAAATTAGAATTAAAATTAAAATCAAAGAATGAGATAAAAATATTAAAAAGATTGATTTTCTTTCTACATTTTTATTGGATATTAAAATATCTTCGCGAATAATACTTCTGTCGATCTAACAAATATTTTATTTCTTTTCACAGACAACAGCGGAAATTATCTACCATCTTTGTTAAACCAATCAATTTTACAATATTTATTCTCTACGAGAACCAAGCATACGAACGTAGATGAACCTACGCCGATATTCGGTTTTGGCCTTCTTCAAGAACCTTGTATTTTAGTCGCATTATTGCACACAGGCGTTGTCATCGACCTCTCGGTTATAGATCTTTATTATCTTCCAAGGATCGAGCAATTAGAACCTGTTATTGATACTACAAAGAAGGTAATTAAAGGAATATTGAATGAATGAAATGAAATTTAAGTTCCCAAAAAACGAGTTACTATTCATCTGCTATTCTCTCTCAAAAATCTCCAAATTAATTTCTTATTAAACCGAAACATACATGGGATAACGATCGGGATCGAACCTAGGATTTGCTGAATACGAATGTATTCGTATTATTCTGACGCAAAACCACGCGTCACTTCAAATTTAAAGTATTATTATACTACATTAGTATCATTCGATTTAACTGTTCCCTACTAATAGAGACCTAACATTCCAAAGAAAGATGTTCTTATCCGTCCTTGTAAATCTGTCACATTCTAACACGGTCATGATGTTTCTTGTGTCTTCCTCTTCAGTATATTATATCAGGTCACCCTGACGTTGGTGATCACATTTTAAAGAAAGCCGTTTTATTTTTTTAAGTTTCTTTCTACAGCGACATCCAGAGAAGTAATAATTAGAGTTGTTTTCTTTTGTCTTTTCTGGTAAACTTTCGTTAAAATCTAAATATATGTGGAATGTGAAATTCGAACCGGGAACATGCCGATTAACAATAAGAGTCACGCTTTCACAATGAGTCACGCACCTCTCCCATGTTTTCATGTTGAGATTTCTGAATTTTTTCTTTTACTATAATTTTATTTTAATTCCATTCTTGTATTTTTAAACTTTTTTGAGCTGCTCAAGTTTCCATGCGATTCTTTCAGCATGAAGCAAGAGTGTTGAAAGTATTAATTATTTAGTGAGAATGTTGAATAGCAAAAATATATATATTGTTGATTTTTTTTTTTAAGGTGAATAAGGAACCATTCGACGTATACATCAAGAAATTACTAAGACGCGAAATATCACAACCGATAACTAAAATAGGATCTCGCTTGATGTCCTTAAGCGAATCCCTAGAGGTAAGCCTAATAGAGCCTAATACTAGATAATAGAGAACATTATATGAACCGATTAAATTGATAAGTTTATTCCACTCATAAAAATTATTACAAATATTTAAGAACTTTTGTCTCATGTACAAAAAAGGAGTTATATAGTCGAATTACAATCCATAAACGATCGAAAAACGCAACTGTTTCTTTTGCATTTTAGTTGTTGTATCACGCCACAAATATCTTTCGTACTCAACATTTCGTCCGACACGACAAAGTTCGGGAAGAAATCAGTAAGAAAGTCCGTGCTCTGAAGGCTTTGAAAAGTCATCTATTAAAGGAACTCGACGCTTTAATAGAGACGAAGAAAGAATTGCGACAGACCGCTGAACGTTTAGCTGAACGATATGAAGATATTAATGATAAACAGAAAGAATTGGCACGTAGGTGAGTATAATTATTTAATTACTTTAGCAATATTCGAGCAACTTTACAGATCCGTGTCATTCAAATTGTGTCAAGTAAATGATAGATACACAATTTTGTATTAAATATTGTTGTGGAGGGAGAAAAAGTAAAATCCAAATTACACTATACTTTCAGAGCAGAGGAAGTTTTAAGATTGGTAAATTACAAAGAACCTTCGATGACGCCTATTGAGCGAGCAGAGGCGGAAGAATTGAAGAAAATGGACGTGAAGATATACGACATGCAGATCCGACTTGAACAGCTCAAGAAAAAATCCGCTCAACAGACTATCCATACAAATGGTATTGAAACTAATGGGAAGAAAAAAGAAATTGTTTTCACACGCAGCCAAGAGGAAGCGACAAAGGAAAATCTTAGTCAGACGTATGTAATCGTAAATCAGCAATTCGTGATTTTTAATTTTACAAAAACAGCAATGCTTGGCAAATAAAGTTAGTATAATATTGTTATCATATGTTGGTTGCCTCTTTAATGTGATACATCTTTTTTACAGGGCGAAAAATATAAAGAATTTGGTAGATCAGGTAAAACAGATTAAAGCAGAAATTAGTCTTTCATATATTAGCAAACAGTAATAACAAATATCAATATTCTTAAATTGTAATTAGTGATTGTATATTTTAATTTTACAAATTTGTATGAACAATAAAAGATTATTTTGTTAAATAATTCTTTAAAATCCTATACCTTTAAGATTTCTAATTAATGGTAACACTTTAACGTGTTACTTTTGTCTATCCATCATTTTACCCGAATAATTGTGTATAACACATTAAATTATTTGTTACAAACTTATTTTTACCGTAATTTTTTTGCTGCAACGCTCCTTCACATAAAATGGTTGTACACTGAGTCTCGACCACTATTAATGTAGAAGCGCATCGACAAGAATAAAAAACTATTAACCACAATCGCGGATATTATTTGTTTATGTGTATTTTCGCATCTGTTACTTTTGTCCTTAGCCTTCCCTACATGTGATACAAATATATTTATATAATAAAAATATTTTCTTTATTAAGTCTTAAAATGTACAAGAGGTTTCATCATTTGTTGGTTTATTGGGAATAGTACATTAATTAGGATATGTAAAAGTATATATATACGCAATAGATACTAAAAATAGAAAAAATTCTATAAAATATTTTTTTTGCGGCATGAATTAAAAATTAATAATGAATTAAAAAATCGACCAATGTTAGAATCAATCAATCATCGCTATCAATGTCATCAATGCCGTCAGGAACAGGTGGTGGTTCGTTTTCAAATATAGGCATGATCTAAGATAAAAAAAAAGGGATTTCAGAAATTCATTTTCATAGAAATGAGCATATAAATATTTTTAGAAAAATATAAACGTATAGGTTATTACAGTAGTAGACCGTGGTGAGGATTCCGTGCATTTTATCGAGAAATCATTACCACTATCTGGGTTTAATATTGGCTTCTCGATATGTTCAATTGTTGGTGTCTCAGTTTGTTGATGGTCACCAGTTTTAATAACTGTGGAGTTCACATCTTTAGTGGCTTTAGATTCTCTATCCTCTTCATCAGGGTCTTCATATAATACTTGCAATGTGATATGCTAAACATAAAATTTTATATTAGAACGTTAATATCGTATAATATCGTAATAAGTATTATATTTATTTTGCATATATCTTTTGCATATATCTTACCTTTATTGTGTTTGCAATAGTTGATTTTACATAATCAAAGGATAGTTCAGAACGCGATTCATCCGCAAGTTTTTCTGATAATGTATGATACGTTTTGTTCATTATTTGCTTAATTTCTTTATTCTTCTTCTCAACCTACAAAGTAAACGAATAACATAATATATTGAATTGTCAAAGAATAAAATCTGCAATTAGAAAATATGATCATTACGTCTTTCTGTCTAGAAAATATTGCATCGTCTTGGTGTTCTCTATGACACTTAGAAAGTCTATCTTCTAAACTAACATTTTCTTCTTTACACTGTACAATCGTCTTTTCAGCTATTTCTAAGGCTTCTTTGGTTTTCTTCAACTCATCATTTGTATCAGTTAGTCTTGCTTCCAATTCTTGAAGCTTTTTGCTCAGATTTTCATTAATTTGTAACAATGATTCTTTTTCCTCTGTAACAACAAAGTTCGATAATTCAATAAATGATTTAATACACATAAATTATATTCTAATATAACACTGTTATTACTTAAATATTGTCTGTATTATCTCAGGTGATTGTTACCTTTCGATACTTTTAAATCATTTTCTAAAGAATTTATTCTGCTTTGTGCCTCGCGAATTTTCTCATCCGATGTATCTTTATCAGTATTTTTTGCTAATTCGTTGTCTTTCGTTCCCGCTTGAGTTGCATTAAGAGCCAAGAACATTTTCAAAGAGGCATCCAAAGTTGCTTTATCGCTCGTAGGAGTTGTCGCATTTTGAAGCTCGAACGCATGGAACTACATACATACGTAACAATTTTATAATCAACGCATTATCATCCTCTTACCGATGTGCGTACCTTATCCAGTAATTTCTGGATATTGTCGGATATTTTGGACATCCCCATTCGTATTTCCGCGTTCGCTATTCTCGTTTCCGATAGTAGCATATTCATTCCGGGATCCAGAGCAGCTGGTATTGCACGATTCATAGTCTGCGATACAGGATACATCTGATTGTCCATCGTTACATAATGTCCCTGTAATTTTAACCATCTTTTACAATCACGTAGATAAATTTATTAGATATCTAGCCTGTATTAATCGTACAGCAAAATATGGCGATGGAGTCCATTGTGGCGTTAATGGGGAAGCAGCAACTAACGGCTTATAAGTACTAGAATCTACAGAAGGCATTTCGGTTTTAGGCTCTACAGTTTTCTGAGCGGCCTTTTTTTCATTCGATGACTCGTAGGGCAAATTCTTCTTCTGCGAAGTTCCTTCCAATGGTTCGATCTAATAGAATACGCAATATTTTAGCAAAAGTATAGGATTTCATCTTTATGGAGAAATTTACAAATTGTGACTAACCCTCTTGTGACGAGGAGATTTATGAGGTACATCATCCTGCAAAAAGATATTACTTCTTTCAGATCAGGACAATAAATTTCATAGGTTTTATTTGATATCTCATAAATATTAACAGGAACAATAGAAAATGTGAGTACCTCGGTATCTTCAGAATCAGTAGTGGAAGGCAAAGGCATTTTTGGTAAGATGGACTGACCCATTTTAGCCATTCTCGATATTATAGCCGCTTTATCGCTCGTTGAGCTTTTAGGTGCCGGCGAATTTTCCTCCTGTACTCGTATATCTGTTATCTCTATTATCAGCATAACATCTCTCTCTTTAGGAAATCCAGGACCTAAACTAATCTATGTAAAACTACTTAATGTAAACAATTGTTACCGTATGACAACTGCATAGAAATTTGGCGAACTACCTGTTTGCTAGGTGGTAAGAATAAAACTCTTTTCAGGCCCTTGCCACTGCCCAAAAGAATTCTCTCCCAATTCTCATCCGTCGATATTTCCACAGTCATTGCTTGTGACATTGCAAAGCTTGTCTTAAAAGGTTGTACAATCTCAGTCCCCACAAAATATTTGATGCATATTTTGTCTCCTTCTTTCGCGATCATATCTTTATCGCTCGGCATTAGATCTTGGTAGATTACATTCGCTCCTTTCTCTTGCGTTGCAAAATAGCGTGCCAGTCCCACTTCTATTGCAAACTCCAGATAACTCTCGTTATTCTCGAACAAAATTGACCAATTCTCTTTGTTATTATCATAATAACTAGCGTAATTATTTGCTTGTATAGTATACGCAAAGTCACGTGTCACTGTAGCAACGGATATGTATTCTTGCTTAGTCTTATATAAAATTATCTGATATACTCTCGTTACTGCGTTGCCTGTCAATGCCATACCAAGCTTCCCAACAGAAGCGTATTGGCCATTTTGCCTGAAATTCAATTATATCTAATTACTAATTGTTATAAAAGAAATACTATAAGGTTATAATTATATATCCCTGTCATATATTAACTAAAAATAAGTAATCTTAGCAGTAATCTTAGCAATTTGACGTAATTACAATTTAAAAGCATGTATTGCTTTAGCTATCAATACTTCTGTCTTGGAAGTAGGTACAGTTTGCTGTACGTTATGTCGAGTGTTGCTCTTCTTACTTGCTACTTTAGCGGAATGAGAATCCGTGACTTTTGATTGTAGCCCAAAAATGGCAGCTAGATTAGACCTGAAAATATAAGGATTGTAATATAATCCAATAAATACAAGACAACACGAAAATTGTTAGAACAGAGAAAAACAAATTTGGATTTATTTTCTTATAAAATAACACAAGAACTATTCATACTAGGGTCTGTTTTCTATTGTTGAACTGGCTGTACTAGTTCAGAATTTATCTTTTTTACTCCACATTGGAAGGAAAAAGATAAACTCCGAACTAGTGCAGCTAGTTCAGCAACAGCAAACAGACTCGATAATTGTAAATCTGATAATTCAAATTAATCAATTAATTAAAGCTATAATTAAAACAATAAGTTTGTTCAGGTTTCGTTGTATTTTAACGTTTAAAAATAAACGTTTGCTTATAAGTTTTGATGGGGAAAAAGGCAAGAAAAAAGTAGTACGTGTACTTGTATTTTGCGGAATCGTATCTAATAATAAACGAGTAAATACGTACCCTCCCGCGGGTACAAAGTCAGACTCGTCGTCATCCCGGAAAATCTTGTCGAGATTTGGCAACTGATTTTGCGCGCTCATGATCGCGGGAAATTAATACAGGCTTCTCAATCGCACGTGAACGAAGCGGCACGCCGCGATGACATCTCATCATTCACAGCAAATTGCATTCACAACAAACTCGCCCATCACCCACAGCATGGAGACGGAGTTAAAGGCTTTTTCTCTTTTTTTTTTGCAGATTCTCCTCGAGTGAGGAGGGGCAGGTGCCTTCAACCTACTCCTAAGGTTTATATATAACACAGGATCTCTTCTTCTGATTAATATTATATTCTTATAATTTGATAAGCCTCTTGCTAGAAATTAAAGGCGTAAACATTAGGGTCTACTACTTGCGAAGGGTTGAAGGTTGAAGGTTGAAGCAGGTGGGGACTGGGGAGGAGTATTAGGACATGTTTTTATGGATTCATACTGTTATCAATGCCATCTACTGGACAATGCTAGCATTATTAAGGTTACTTTCCATTTACTGACTGGTGTGATACGCGGCGTGGCACCGCGCGATACGGCGATACACGTAGACGTGGTGACAGTCGTGACATAACCCTGCCTGGTCGACGTTGAGCGATTCACTGTCGCCGTTTTTCGACAATGTGAAGTATTGTTTCCAGAAATTTTGTATGCGACGTGACCTTCGACGAACGCCCCGCAACGAAAGTTGCACGATGAATTTGAATAAGACAGAGAAGCTGTTAGCCGCTAAGAAGAAGGTAATCCCGCATTTGGGAACCATCGTGAACAAAATTGCTTCCGCAGCTGTCAAACCTGTCACGTCACGTTCGGTATAATTAGAGATAATTATAGGGTCTGTTTTCTATTGCTAAACTAGTGCAGCCAGTTCAGCAATAGAGAATCCGTAGATGAAAAATGCTGTTTTGCTGCGAAATGCTCTTTATCGGCACAATTATTAAGATAATAATAACGTAGCGAATTATATATAAAACGATGACGTTAAACTCTTTAAATGTTACAAGCTATTGGAATGCGAAATTAAAGTGTTTTACTGGAAATGATTGCGTTAAATTTTTGGCACGGTTTTACTTGTCAATGTATTTGAAAAGTTGTGGACTTTATGGTGTTTTTTTTACAGCTAAAGGAGTTCCAACTGCAAAAAAAATTACAAGTGGAAGAGAGCTTGAGTAAACAGCAAGACTCAAATGTAACAAATAAATCTATATCACAGGTAATTATTTGCTAACAATGTAGAAATTCATGTCTTGTATTTTTGAACGTATAATATTAGAGGAATATTTTCAACAGTGCCAAACAAATTGTCAAACTGCGAAGGTGGATGAAATCTGTGATCAGAAGAATCAAAATGAAGTAAAGTGTGTGGAGAAACGATATGAGAAACATATAGATGACACAGACATTATACATAAAGAAGAAAATGTAATAAATCATTTTGATGGTGCTAGTAACTTACCAGACACAATCGAAACTATAGTAACGGCAAATAACAGTAAGATAACAGAAAAGAGCTTTCCTATCTTGGAGAGTTATTCAGAAAGCGCTGCGTTACACGAAAGTAGCAATAAAGATGGCACGCATTCTCGTCTTCAGCCAGATTTACAATTTGTGGGAAACGATGGGAGATATAACTTGAATGCTACGGTGTCTAATGGGCCATCGACAGTGCAAAAAGAATATTTGTTAGAAATGGCCTCGGAAGTTGCTCATGTGCTTACCGACGATACAGACCACAATGAGCCGCCAAATTCACTTAATCTTGATCTGAATTGTCGTAATCAATTTTTAAGTTCATGTATGGAGGAACAGAAACAGCTTGTAAATGACTTACATATTCAAGTCAGTCGTTATGTGAGTATACTTTGATACTATACGCAGCTTCTGGTTTATATTTAATTAATCATTGTTGCCAGACATAAAGATAAATTGTTATTACATGTGAAAATAAAATAGCATAGCAGAGTGGCCGAATTAGAAGAAATTCTAGCTACAAAGGATTCTGAGTTTGAAGCCAAACTCGTTCGCGAAATCAGTCCTCTCAAGGAGCAGTTACAGATCCACGCGCAGACTACTGGTATCTTGATAGCGGAAAAGGCGGAGCTCACAGCAGCTTTAGCACAGAGCCAGAGGACTGCAAAACAGAATTCAGGTTAATATTTGTAATTTGCACGTAAAATTTTGAATGTTTATAATTTATCCTGATGTCGGAAAATATGCTGTTATTACAATTGAATGAATGTCTGCTGTTTAGAAGAGATAGAGGAAATGAGTGGAAAATTGAAACATAGCCAGTTTCGTATTAACGAGCTTGAAAAAGAATTGGCTCAAACGAGGAGTAATTCTAGTGACACTCAGAAAAACGCTCAGCAAGTACAGCAAGTCTATGATGAGCTCGAGAAGAAATATCATGAACTCAGGTATTATACAGATATTAAATTTTGTATATTGAAATCATTTTTTTATTTTAATAAATACGTGGCTTTAAATAGTGTTATTCAAAATAATCAAAGTCCACATTTTTGTCTATAGAAAGGAAAAGGAAGATTTGGAATTGGAAACCTCAGAGTTAAAACAAAAGCTGAATTTAAAGAACACCGAGTTTATTACTTTGCAACAGGAATTCCAAGAGAAAGCAGCCTTACTTTCCTTAAGCGAATTAAGGATACAACAGGTAATTCTGTAAGATTATTACTAAAAATTATAATTGCTTTATCTTGAAACTAACGGAAATAAATTGGTTATAGCTAACTAATACATCGCAAACGTTGGAATCCCAGCATCAAACTGTAACAGTGCTAGAACAACAGTTGGCTCAAATGAGAGAAACTTTGAAGTTAGTGAATAACGAGAAGAATGAAGCCAGTAGACAGTATCAAAATTATGTACGACAATTGGAGGCACAGCAGGCAAAATTGCTTAATGAGGTACATATAAATGTTTATATAACTCCTTTCGTAAAGGTAGTTATTTTACATCGAGCAATTGCAGGTTGAAAGTGGAAATAAAATAATCACTGATTTAGAAAACAGAGACAAAAGTTATATACAACGTTTATCAGATTTAGAACAACAATTGCAGCATGAAAAAGAGAAAAATGCTATACCCCCGCCACAAGATCGTAACGATGAAATAACCAATTTAATGAAAAGCATTGAGCAACTGACCGCGCAACAAGAAAGACTTCATATTGCATTATCTGAAAGGGTAAAAATACATATATATGTATAGAAAATAATAATTCAGAAATTTAGTAAGAGAAATGTTTTTTAACAAGATAACGTTTTTAGGATGCGGAGATTGAAATGTTAACGAAAGAAGTGCAGGAACTACGGGATACGAAAGATGATGGTGCTGACGTAGTAAAATTAGTACAGTCTCTCGAAAGTGAAAAACTTGGTGCCTCTAGAGCTGTTTCACAAAATCAACAGTTGAAGGAACAATTAACTGAAATGGAAAATGCTTTTGTTAATCTTGTGAGTAGTATTGCTACACAATATACATGGATCCAATGTTATTAAATCTTAAACTTGAAAAAAAAATTTTTTTGTAGTACTTCTATTTATTACAAAATTTAATCTTGTTTAAAAAACTTAATAATTGTGTTCTCTTTTTAGAGTAATGCTAAATTGGATTTGACAGAGCAGCTTCAAGCTGAACGAAATATTGGCCGAAAATTAAACGCAAGATTGAATACTGTTGAGACGCAAATGGATAATCTGAAAGAGAAATTAAAAGAAAAGGAAACATCATTAATAGAATTAGAGAAAGAAAAATTGCAAAATGCTCAAATTACAGATCAAATGCAGCACTATCAAGCACAGTCTCACCACGCCCATACGCTACAACAAGAATTACAAAACGCTTTGGTAATTTTTGAACTTTTTAGTAATTTAATCATTTTAATTTATTTATAACTCTCATGTGTTTCTTGTATGTGATCCATGGTTATATTACTCAAATTTAACATACTGATAACATAATAGCTTTGCATAGTAATTGTAATTATACATCACAGATTTATATAGAAAACTTGAAAAAAGAAAATGAAGAACTCTTAAAAAAATTAGAAAATAAAGTACAAGAAGAGTCGCATTTGCTCAGAAAAGCTGTCGATCATGGAGATCAGTATTTAACAAAGAATGAGCAAAATTGTAATGATATTGTAACAACGCAAAACTTACCACTGCCAGAAGATAAAAGTATTTCAGATAATATTGGGCCTATTGAAAAATTAGAAAAGAGGTTTAAAGAAACAATGGAGAAGGTCGCTGAATTAACTGACGAGAAACAAAAATTGGAACATCTTGTTCTCCAGCTCCAAAGTGAAACAGAAACTATAGGTAAGCTTTATATACTTTTGATTATACAAACTACCCTAATTTTTCAAATAATATTTAAAATTTTTCAAATAATATTTGAAAAATTAGGGTAGTTTGTATAAATTTTTCAAATATTATTTGAAAAATATTAATTATATTTCAATGTTAATTTTTAATTTTTAATTTAACATTACATAAGTGTTCGTTTTAATTGTAGTTTGCCTTATATTTCTCATAGAATACATTTACACTTAAATTTCTTTATGAACCTTTTTAACTTCTGATTTCATGCGTCAACTTATACAGGAGAATACATTACTTTATATCAAAAGCAACGAGCGATTCTAGGAGAAAGATGGAAGGAAAGAGAGCAAACCTTCCGTCAATTAGTGGAGCAACGTAATCAACAACAGGAACAGTTGCATAAACTAAAAGTGTTAGTTACAGAGTTGCTTAAAAAACATCCCGAAACGCTAATAACTTCCACAGAAACCTGTATGGATTGTCATAAAGGTAAATCCGCCAGTATTTAATGTTTTCTATAGACATTATTTCCTTCGATAATTTTTAAATAAATGTATTTCGAATTTATTTTGATTATACATGTAGAATGAAGAAGAAAGTATGATTATTATATGTATATGTGTGTATATATTCTCTACAGATATAAATGCCGGCAATCCTACACTCTCTGACAATGAGAAGCAGGAGAATACAGAACAACTACCGTTGATAGAAGATAAAACTGCATCGGATATTCTTGATCTTCTCACAGAAATCAAAGACTGTAAAGATGCATGTATTACCGAACCTAACTTTCATCCATGCCCATGGTGCTCCGGAAGGCTCATCACCGTGTAATCATGAATAATAAATTTAATCTTTGTTATAAACTAACTTATATCCACGCGATATAAATTAGTCATGTAGAATAGTAACAATTGTATATAGAGAATTCCTAGACACTTTTTTAAAACCTCTGTATCTATTTCTTGTAAAAGTGCGGACGTGACGTTTTTATCTGAGGAGAGTTGCTTTATAAATATACAGTGCCTTGAATAATTTTGCAAATAAACTTTTTGTTTTCTCTCGCACCTATTTGTCAAGAGGGTTGAGATATTACGAGTACCAATACTTCGTCGCAAATAAACGTTCAATATTTTAATGAAATTTTTATTTGGAATAGTAATTAAAATAGTACATCCTATGCTTTCAAAGCATACTTTCTCTGCGGGAACGCAGAGCGCTTGCGTACGTCCTTCAGCGTTCGTCTGCTGGCCTGATAGGGAGTAAGAACACGGCGTAGAGCCCTTGTTTTCTTGGGCCTCAAATCAAGGGGCTTGTATTTCTTGTTCTTGTAAAGCAGGCGAAGGTTTCCCTTTTGCTTCTGGTGCATAATAATGTACACTCGTGCGATGGCCTTCCTCACAACGCGACTGAAACAACAATAAAAAGGATTAAGATTCGTAGAATATAAATTTGTAAAATATTTACAACATGCATTAGACAAAAACGTTGCAGACTAAAATTAATTTCAACATACTATGCACTTAGAATGATATATCCCAACAAATTTCTCAACAGACTTCAATATTTTTTAGTAAATGTATCTTAGGTTACGGTCAACGTGACGCTACAAATGCTTCGAAGCATTCCTCTTCTCTTTTCTGGCTACGGTCAACGTGACGCTACAAATGTTTTGGAGCGTTCTTCTTCTCTTTCTTTCTTCATTGAAAGAAAAGAGAAAAGGAATGCTTCGAAGCATTTGTAGCGTCACGTTGACCGTAGCCTCTTTCAATGAAGAAAGAGAAGAAGAACGCTCCAAAGCATTTGTAGCATCATGTTGACCATAGCCTTAAATGTATAATAAAGTATATCAAAAAGATAGGCAGATACATATTTATCATTTTATATAATTTTATAAATTATTCCATATTTGCATCATTAATTTAAAGCGCCATGAAGAAATTTAGAATGGAATTATAAGAATTACAGACTTACATCTTGGACAGCTTTGACGCAGCTCCTCCAGTCACCTTGGCCACTCGTAGGGTGGTCAATTCTGTTTTGAGCTGCTCGAGCTGTTTCAGCAGCTCTCGCTTATCTTTGGTCCTTAATTCCGAACACTTCACTTTTGCCTAAAACAATTCAGTATGCGCATTAAGTACCACATATTGTAAACTAACCAACACAAAAGTCAAATTACTACACGCATGGTCATTATGACTTTCATTGTAATGTTAATCGTTTATTTTTGCCGAAACATAATTGCTAGAAGAATATTATCTTCTCTTATTTCCCGTTCAATTCGTAGCTCAACAACATCGTGACGCTATCGTGTTCGCGATGACGCAAGGTTATGTGATATACAAAACTCTCCGGTGAATACAACTCGAAAATATTCACAATCCATTTATTAGATTGTAGAATTCATACAGTTTCTATCGAAAAATCGAAGTACGTTAACCGTTGATGTTCTAAATAAATTCGGATTACAATCTCACGCTTCCACTAACCATTTTAGATCGGTTTTCTCGCAGCAAGGAAAAAGACTCGAACGACTGACGAGTCGCGAAGGAGGGCGCACCGTCTGTTCTTTTTCGAAGAACTTCCTGAACCAGTGCAACACTTCCCATGCGAGATTCCGAAAACACTGGGGGTCAATTCTGTATCTTGGGACGAGGTGAAAATTACAAAAGTGAGGAAATTCACAGAATCTACAATTTTATTTGTCGAAATCTAGTAAATCTGTTTACTATTTGTATATGAGCGGGACTCAATTGACCACATCGTCAATTGATTTAAAATAAAAATATCTGATTGGTTGATTCAGGGGAAAACTCCAGGCATCGGGGGCTGTGAGTGGCTGTGGTCAAACGGGACGCTCCCTTCTGCTTACCAGCGCGAGTTCTGATTGGCTTCTGCTTTCCTGCTTTCTGCTATTCTGCCAAGATGTGAATTTTTCCGAAGAGCGTGCTTCTCGAACGCGTCCATTATTTCTTCTGCAGGTTCTGCCAGCAACAGAGAGACGCAGGGACGTGAGGTCACTCATGCGAGGTCTACAATGCGAGTCGCAAGTCGTGAGTCGCAAGAATTAACCAATCACAGTCGATTATTCTCTTCAAATTCGTTTGTGATTGGTCCATTTCCTACGACTCACGACCCACGACTCGGCATTGTAGACCCCGCATAATGGCTGCGTTCAGCAGACATAACTGTTGAGTTCGTCTTATCAACACTCTGCGTTGATTGGTTGGTTCTAAAAGTAAGAGCCAATCACGTTCGACTGCTACTGAGCAGCTTGGTCTGCTAAACGCGCCCAATGGTTCATTGTAGACTCGGCCTGAAATAAAATCCGCTGTCGTCGCGTCTGTCAGAAGTCTGTCTACGTCTACGCCAGTCTACGGACCTTGGCTGTAATTGACTGGTAATTGACAATCTGAGGAAATTTTTATATTGGTTAAAAAAAATATTTCGGACAGAGTTTCGGGCATTTTCAAGCAATTTACGAAAAGAGCTTGTAAGTTCGATGTATTAAGATAAAAAGTGATAAAAATATTGAATTTTTCTCCGATGTTTTCACTTCTAACTATAAATAAAATTTGTGGATTTTTTACAAGCAAATTATCAGTATACATAAACTTTCTTAAATTTATAATGCAATTAGATTTTAAAGATAAATAAATAATTGTTCTGTAATTCTGTTGCAGGCTTCAATCTGTGCTAATAAGAATAGAACATAAACAATGGGGAAGCACGAAGTAGGCACGCCAAAATACATTGCTAATAAAATCAAGGCGAAAGGATTACAGAAATTACGATGGTATTGTCAAATGTGTCAGAAGCAATGTCGAGACGAGAATGGATTCAAGTGCCACACAATGTCGGAGTCCCACCATCGTCAACTATTATTGTTTGCTGAAAATGCGCATCGATACATGGATGAATTTTCACGGGAATTTTCACAGGGATACCTGAATTTATTGAAGAGACAATTTGGCACCAGACGAGTACCAGCGAATCGCGTATATCAGGAGTACATCTCGGACAGAGGACATATACACATGAATGCGACTCAGTGGCTCACTTTGACAGCTTTTGTAAAATGGCTTGGACGTACTGGACAGTGCGTTGTCGATGATACTGAAAAAGGTTTGTACATTATCCAAATTTATTATTTATAATTTATTACTGACAATTATAAAGATTTGTCTATCGATAAAATTTTAGATTTTGTAAAATACACGTGTTACATTATTTCAGGCTGGTTTGTAACATATATCGACAGAGATCCTGAGACACTTGCTGCACAAGAGAAAAAGGCAAAGAAGGAAAAAATGGACAAGGACGATGAGGAGCGACTGATGGAGTTTATTGACAAGCAAATAGAAAAAGCTAAACAGGATACAAAGGAGGAGGAGGAGAGTGAGACATCTAAGACCCCACTGATGCGTCCTGATGATACACCTTTAGTCCTCGATATAAAACTAAAACCAAAACCAAAGTTGCTACCTGTACTTGAGATAAAGCAAGAGAAAATTAAGAGTGAAGATAGCCAAAGCGTTTCAAGCGGATCAATCAGTGTAAAAAATGAAAAACTCAAAAGATCCAATGATAATGAGACAGACTCTGTTAAGAAGTTAAAAAGTGAAGATAATTCGCCAGCGACTGAAGGCTGGCTTAGAGAAGGTTTAATGGTTAAAGTAACTACGAAGAGTCTGGGTGACAAATATTACAAGGCTAAAGGCATTGTTCAATCGGTTGGGACAGACGGTTTTGTTGGTAAAGTAAAACTGAAGACACCGGAAGAAGTTAACGGACATATTATACGACTAGATCAAGAATATCTCGAGACAGTAATTCCCGCAATAGGTAAAGAAATTCTGATTCTTTGGGGAAAACATAAAGGCATGAGAGCAATAGTGAAGAAATTGCATATAGAACACTATAGCATAGACGTTGAACTCGAAAAAGACAAAAAAGTTGTGAAGAAACTTCCATATGAACAAGTATGCAAGTATATAGATTGAGAAGTAATTGTGCGGAGAAATACTAGGAAAAAAATACTCTATTTTAATATTGTCGGTAATAATCTGTATTATATCCATTGTATTACCCCAAAGAGCATCTGTGTACAAAAACAGCTGAAAAAAATATCAAGCTTGTATATAAAACATGAAGTAACAAAGTAATATTACATAAAACAATTTGGGAAACAATTTTTTGCGAAACGTTTACTTGAGGCAAACTGCTTTTTATATCCAATATTACATACGTTATCAATTATATTTCATTAAATACATATCAGTGTTTGTATGTGCGGTGCAAATAGATATGTGAAATTAGATTATTTAGGGATCTTATCATCCACGCAAATAAAATGCTATAATTTAAACCTCAAATTCCCGGAATAATCATTTTTTAAATTAGATATCAATCACTTTTTAAGAAATAACAAATGTAAAAATAAAACATGATCTTACGAAATATAAATGTACATATAAATATATGTATTATCTTTTTTCTATAAGGGTATATCAGCATTTTTTTAAGTCTTATGTTTCTTTCGACAAGATGCTCATTTTGTATGTCTTTTATATTATTATATATCTTAAATAAAACGAACATCAACTCTCTATTATTTATTTCATATGTATCCAACGACATATAAATTTCTCTTCCAAGCACTTTTATATTGCATATATATTTATATAAAAAAATATTTTACTATATAATACATAAAAAATTTGAGGAAATAAAAATAAACATTTACTATTATGGTATATATACATATATTTACAGTATTCCATGTGTTATTTTATGAAAAATATATGTTAGCTTAATCTTGTTCAGTGTTCACTGTATCACTATGTAACTAATGTATAAAATGACGAAACAATATCATTGATGACACAAATGTCTGGTGCAGTATAGGATGCAATGATATATAAATATTTCAATACTTATAATTCTATTCGGTTTTGCGAAGCATTCGCTCACGTACATATGGCACTGGAAAACATTCTTTATCAAGTAGAACAATGCGGTTGTTAATTTTAAAAAATGAATCTCTTAGAAATTTACGATTCGATACAGGTACAACAGTACCTTCGCCAAATGTTTCTATTTGTTTCTTGCCAAATATTCTATTTACAAACACAGCCTTGTACACTTTCTCCTTAGAACTGTAATAAATTCTAAGTGGAAGTCCTTTGCTGACTACTATGAGTATGGCGGAGAAAGCAAAACTAGTAAACAATATGAGTACTCTTTGCACGTCCGTCAAAGGTCTTAATACATATCCAGTACGTAATATACCCGATGTTCCTTTCTTTAGTACCGGTGGATTCACGTACATCAAATATCCAGAACTAAACGTAGCAGCAGCAAAACATATCCATCCAATATGATACGCCGCAATAATTGTTCCATTAATGGTCGAATGTTCCCTATATACAAGCTGATAACCGTCGCTTATATTGTCCTTGAGTTTATATTTCTGCTCTGCCCAGGAATTAGTCTTATTAGTCCTATTAGTAAGATGTTCATAACTTCTCACGAGCGTGTTTTTGTTGACAGGACCAGAAATTATATTCTTGCGAAAAACAGATCGGCACAGAACAGGAGCCTTGTTCAAGATATAAGCCATTCTTGTAACTCACAAGCAGCTCTGTAACATCAATTATAAAAACGCGTATGAATAATCAGCAAGAAATAAATGTGACTGCTTTAGATTCATTAAATTATATTATATCTCTTATATTACATTAGATTCATTAAATAATATGTATAACTATTCTTAATACCGTCATTATTTCTTATTTCTGTACATACATAAGTATTTCTTTTAAAGTGTTGTTATCAGGGAGCTAGTTTCTGTTTCCTAAAAATATGCTTGCAATAATATGTGTATGCTACTTCATAAAATTAAAAGCATTTGATATTAGGTTAGGTCGCTGTGCAGGTGCTGTACTGCTGTGGACAGTGTGGACAGCTGTGCCTGTGCCCTGCTGTGCAGATACTTCCGGTTGTGCTTTGCGTCGCTTTTACAATTTAACACGCTTTGCATGTGCGCTCGATTAAAATGTCTACGTTGTTCAACGGCGATAACTCCGACTCCGATGGAGAATTGAAAATAAACAAGGAATACGCCAATATTTACGATACCTTCCGTCAAAAGGAGGAATTACATAAACGTGAGTGAACCTAACCTATGTGCGCCTCAACCTTACGTTACTCGCGAGAGGTGTAAAATACACTCTAGCCACAGAAATCATCTAAATTTACAGAATAAAACCGATCGAATGTTACGTAAATTGTTTCACAATTAAAGAACTTTTGCGCTTAATCTTTCTCTAGAAAATATATAGAATGTGATCAACTTTTATTTTAACTTTTATCTTACTTTTAATTGTAAATCATCAAAGAGAATAATGAAAATTAAGATATAATGTATTGAGGTGTAAAATATACCCCATATGAGTAACCACGTTGAAAAAACTGAGTAATGTAAAGTTAATAGAAGAGCAAGAGAAGTGATGGTTGTGGCTCCTTGTATATAGGAACGTTTGACTTATAGTAGGTGGGTTTCAGATCTGATCCCGACCCTTATTTATAATTCGGTTTATAAGAGTAAAAGAACTAGGAATTGACAAATAAGAACAAGCATATATGCTCTATACATATATAATTAAGACACAATACTATGCTTCTTGAAATTTTCTAATTCTTTTAACTCCTTATCTTCATCTTTTCAATCAATCTTAATCAATCTCTTAGTTTCTCAAAGTTGAATCTACGATTTGTCGACTATAAGTCAGGAGTTTATTCCACAGGATCACCACAAGAATTTCTCTATCCAAAAACTGTATTACAGTAACATGATTACAATTGATTGATATACGCAAAAGAATTAAAATATTTAATTAAGTTATGAAAAGCCAATCTGATATTTTACCTGATATCTGTCATGGTTAATGTTAAGTTACTACATCAAATTACTTCACATGGTTTTTTAAATGTGCACATAATTGCAATTTTTTTCTTATTTTTATTTATTTTGTAGTGAAGACAAGGTATGGAGAAGATGCTGCATTTTCGGCGGATGAATCCAGTGATAGCAGTTCATCGGAAGATGAGAATGTATGTTGATTTATAGTTTGTTTGACAAATTACTGGTTGCTTTTAATATGTATAGTATTACACATATTTTTTTAACTTGTGTTAGAAGATGTTGTATTTTATCTCCTTTTTATACCACAACGAATTTAATTATATATATAGTAATACTAATAAATGCATAACAATAATTTATTCTTTTCAGGTTCACAATCCAGAATTTGATAAAGAGTTTCTCATAACGTTGGCACGTTTGAAATCTAAGGATCCAAGCACGTACGATGAAGAAGTTAAGTTCTTTAATGATATTGGAGAACCTGGAATATCAGAAAGTGCTAAAGCAGAAGAAGAGGAAAAAAAGAAGTCAAAGAAAGAAAAGCCTTTCTTTTTACGTGATTATGAACGTAAGATAATATTAGAAAGAGACGGACGATTTAGTAGCAGCGAAGACGAAGATGACGCAATACAAGAAGCTAAATCTAAAATGCCCACTTACGTGGAGGAACAAAAAGAATTGAAAGACAGTTTTAAACATGCTCTAAAGGATGAAGATGAAGATGATCTCTTAAAGATAAAACAAAAGACAGAAGAGGAGAGGCACAAGGTACTTTTAATTCTTACATTTTTAATAATTTCATGTGTATGTATTATTGTGTGTAATGCTGTTATTGTTTTATTTGTTTAGGAAGAAGAATCATACAAGGAGTGGTTGAAAGGCCAAGAAGTAGAAATAGATCCCAAAGAAAAGGAAATGCTTAAACCATTGCGTGATTTTTGGTCAGATCCTAATTTAGACCGAAATGAGAAATTCTTGAGAGATTATATTTTAAATAATAAGTATATGGATAATGAATCTTATGACGTTGATTTAGAGTACAATCATGTTATTCATGACAGCGATGAGAATTTGTCAGAAGATGAGAAGACTATCCAAATGCAAGAAGAATTTGAACATAAATACAATTTTAGATTCGAAGAACCTGATCAAGAATTTATCAAGAGGTATGAATTCTTACTCAAATAAATGTTAACTAGTACATACGCTATCATTTTTTTCTATTCATGAACTTTATGTTTCACTAAGGTATCCACGAACAATGGAAAACTCAATGCGAAAGAAAGATACGCGTAGGGCTCAGAAGAGAGTCGAAGTTAAGCAAAGAAAAGAGCAAGAGAAACAGCAAAAGAGAGAGGAACTAAAGCAATTGAAGGCGTTGAAGAGAAAGGAAATAGAAGAAAAGATAGAAAAGTTGAAAGAAATTACAGGTACTATGACTTTTCAACTTCCGAACGTGTAAAATTTATATCAAATTGTTCAACATTATGCTATGTTTATACTAATTGCAGGAAATGACGATATGCGCTTCGATAATGTTGATTTTGATTCCGATTTCGATCCAAATGAACACGACAGAAGGATGAAAGAAATTTTTAATGATGAATATTATGCTGGTGGTGAAGACGAGATGCAGAAGCCTGAATTCCCAGAGATTGATGAAGAATTGGATATCGAGCCTAAATGGGACACATATGATCCAACTACAGATAAAATTGACATGGAAGCTGCGCCAGAAGAACCTCATTGTGAAGATCCAGATTTTAATGTGCTTATTATAGTCTACCTGTTATATATTTAGCTGATACATTTTGAATAAGAATGTCATCAGTCATTTGATTGCAGATGGATGCAGATTATAATGAATCCCGAGATTTGCAGTCTGAACTCATTGAAAATACGAAAAAGAGAAAACGAAGGAAGCGGTCTAAATTCGCTGAACTTATAGCAAAGGAGAAACCCAAATTTGATCCAAAACAATTTCCTTCGTATGCAGATTATTTTGATCAATATTACTCATTGGATTATGAGGACATGATCGGAGACTTGCCTTGTAGATTTAAATATCGGAAAGTAGTGCCAAACGATTATGGGTTGAGTGTTGAAGAGGTAAGTGTTAATTGTATAAAATGGGATCAATAACTAACGGTATCATTTGATAAATCAACAAACATTTTTATGTTTCAAGATTTTAATGGCTGATGATAAGGAGTTGAATAAATGGTGTCCCTTAAGACATGCCCTTAAATATAAACCAGAACATGCAGAAAAAAATGAGATTCGAATATATAAAGAAAAATCGATGAATGACGCACATAAGCGAAAAATTCTTAAGAGCTTATATACGTAAGTTTTACATGAGGATTAAAAATATATACTATATATACTATATGTATGTAATCAATTGTATATTAATTATGTATATTTAGTGAACCAGAAGAAAGAGAGGAAGAAGAAACTGAACCAGTCACTGAGCAAACTGAAACCAGTGATAAGAAACGTAGGCGAAAGAAGAGAGCTAAAGCCAACAATCCTAACGAGTCTACAAATACTGTTACTATTTCTAAGGAAAAAAGCGTGCATACAGCAGAGAGTAGTGTACAGAATAATTTGCATAATAATGATGACAGACAGGAGGATGAAAAAAATAATAATACGCAAAAGAAAAACATAATAAATAAAAGCAAAAACCGGAAACGAAAGAATAAACTAAATGCTGACGGCGACGGTCCAATTTCTAAGAAAATGAAGACAGACAACATAGTAAAGAAAGATTCTCGAATGAAAGCGGACACTAATAACATTAAAGTAGAAAACAATAACGAAAGGATGGTATCTGTCAATAAATTTGCAGGCCAGAAGAAAAACAAGAATAAGAGTTCTCAATTTAATCAAATAAACACTAGAAAGCGCAAACCAGATTATGATGATCCAACGATGTCTTTGAATGCAGAAAGATTGAAGACCTACGGAATAAATGCTAAGAAATTAAAAAATAAGTTGAAATATGGCAATAAAAAATTGTAAAGGTTGGTTTCCTGTATTTTTATATCTGTAAATATAACAAATATAAAATCATATCTGATATGATTTTAGATTCTGTGTAACATTTATATATATATAATATTTTCTTATTAATAAATAATAAAATATTAATATATATATTATATCTGATCATATCGCAAAGTTATAGCAAAAAATTAAATAAATGAGTCGGTACATATAAGCGTGACAAGTTTAATACCAAGGCATATACGTACAATACAAATGCATATACATATACACATACCACATATAAAGGATGGATAAGAGACAGCAGTCGGCGACTGCGCGCACCCTCGAGTAGGAGTGGTCTCGAGTTAGGGCGGATCCGCTTTCGGATGATAAACGACGTTTGCGGATTATTAGGATCGTAGGCTGCTGTTTGTGTTTGCCTTTCCACAATTTCCATCTCTAATCCAGGCCGTATGCTTCGCTCAGGAGAAAAATACACCCCATTGACCGGGCCCGTTACGGATTTCACTTACCGAATTCTTTATTTGTATTCTTTCTTTTTGCCCCATTAAATTTTTGACCAATATAATTACAAATAAGGAACTTAAATTAAACCACAATTATTTTTTATTTTTTCACAATCTTAGACGAATTTTTAAACGATATACGTTATTTTGCTTCTGGAAAACTAAATCAACTGAAGAGTTTCAAGAAAAATTATGTATATTATTATGATTTTTATTTACATTATACATTTTTTTATGAACATTAATAAGATTATCACTTATTAATCACAGTAGATATTTATTCTTTACATTGGATTTTTGTTTCGACTTAATTCTTCAGATTTATTAGAAATATATTTTCATGCTCAAAATATTTATTTAAACTTTCATCATATTTCGGTTTGTGAATTGATGCCGATGTATACCTATATATATTTTTTATAAAGAAAATCTAATTATAATGATTCTTTTATTGTGTAACGTTAAAGAATAAGCAGAATTAGCCGCCGAACGTGTAAACGTGTTCATGTATAATTTAAAACAAAAGATTCGATCACTTGCGGGAGAAAAGGGCGGCTGCAGAAAACAATATCGTTGATAATGTATCTGCGACGCCTCTTAAGAATTTTATTTAACGGGAGAGTACAACGACATTGGTGGGATCGGTCTGAAAACCCTCGGCACAAACCCTCTTTCTCCCTCGGGTACAATAAATCAATCCCCTTGGCTCGACGAGGACTACCAGTAGTAGCAGGTGGCTCCTGACGGCCACTGGCGTTCGCGCCCTTAATTCCCAATTAATGTTATCCTCGATGTAAACGTACGCCCTATACGTTCCCCTTGGCCCCAAACCGTACGTTCGAGCATGTTTCCTCGCGGATTATGCATCGAATGCACCGACGCGACGCGACGGGACATCGTCGGTTGCATTAAAGTAATTCGCGATTCTATACAGTAAAATATATTCTCTAGCAACTTGCGAATTGTT